TTTTCCCTCATTCTGTGTTTTCGTACCTTTGCTTCTCTCATTTTATGGATAAAAAAGACTACGCTGCACAGTGCATGCTTATGAACAATTGCTCTTGACTCCCGGTTTCATCTCTCATCTTGATGCCTTCGCCCACCATCACCTTCCTTAATTACATCTCTTCCGATGGTTTCACGTATGCTCTTTCACTTGGTTCAGGGTATTGTTTTATACACTGCAACGAGTTAGAGAATGGACCTGGTTCATTATCCGTGGAGTGCTGGGTATGAACACCGATGTTCCTTTTTCGCATCTCGACATCACATTATTTGTTTGTTTGTTTGCATAGTTGCTCGACCTCACTTCGTTGCTTCATCCATATGGGTTGTGCGACGAATTTTTTTTTTTTTTCTTTTCAAAGAAAAAGTCAATTAACAAAAAAGGATAAATTTCTTGGTTTTTGGTGGACTTTGTTGTTCTATAGGCAATCATTATACCCATTTCTGATTGTAAAAGTCCCATTCAATAACGAAAAAGGGATATGCAGTGGGTTCGAGATTTAACAAAATGGCGTTCACGCCACAGTGAATTGAGCGTGAGACATGTGATGAGTGAGAAAAATAGGAATTGGGTTGACACGTGATTTTCACGATATCTCCATCCCATTGCTAAGCACCCCAACAGCCAACTACAACCCCATGAATTACCCGCACGCCGTAATCTCTCAACTTCTCAAAACGCTAACATTGCCATCCTCCATTCCAAAGAACGCCACCTCCGCCATCCCACAAAATAAGCCGACCTCTACAACTCCGGTGATAAGCTTGATATCTCGAAGCAGTGACTTCGGATCAGCGATAGGCCCGAAGTGGGCGTCGATCACGAAGCAACCGTTGTCCGTTACCACGGGCCCGGCCTTCATCTTGGCCATCCGCAGTGCCATGGTCTCGGGTTTAGCGGAGATTCTAGTCTGGAGTGCTTGCTGCACGGCTTTGTAAGACATTGGGATCACCTCGATCGGGACACCGCGAAGCCACTGTGGGGGCAATAAGAGAATGGTATGATGCGAGGCGGACGGGTAGAGCGCCGTCGTTTTATTTTTAGGGAGGGGAACTTTTTTTTGGGGAAGGGGAGGGGGGAGGGTGGGGCAGGAAAAGTGTTTCACAAAACCTGCGTGCCCAGTTTCTCGGATTTCTTGCGGTAATCTGTGTTTTAACATCAGTAAGAAGATGGCACCTCTCACATTCATAAGGGGACGCCTGAGCACATTTCCCCGGATAGTGAGTGAGTCATGCCACTACACACCTGCAATTATCACAAACTTTTTCGCGGCTTCGGCCACAAGCTTCTCTTGGAACTGGCACGCGCCGCCACCCTTGATCGCATTCAGCTTTGCGTCGACCTCATCGGCGCCGTCGATCGTAACGTCGAGATCAGTGTACCTATTTGTATGCCATACCCCCGTAAAAGTGAATGTTTGTTGATTTCTTTGGACCCGGGTCGTCTTCAAAAACCTGAACATGGCAGAGACCCGGGTACGCACTGCTCGATCGATCCCAACTTCAATCCTCCATCAATGATCAGGATCTTGCTCTGAAAGCTCGTAGGGATAAACACAATGTGATGCAATTCCGGTTTCTGCAGGATCCGTTCCAGTGCGTATACAACCGTCGACCCGGACCCAATACCGACGGCCTTGTGGTGCGGGAGGATATATTCGTCCACAGCTTGGTGGGCGGCAATGCGTTTGCCGGATTCAACGGGGTCAGTCATGGTGTGTACTAGAGGTAAGGTGGTGAGACTTCTGAGGTAGAAGTGTGGAGAGGCGGTGAGTCGCGAGGACAGTGACGAACAGAAAAAGGGAAGGAGACGAGCCATAGTGGCCTTGCATGGGAGCCCAAAAAAATTCACCACACGTGTGACCCCACAGCCGTGACATCATCGGTAAATTTGCCTGTTTATTTGAGAAGGCGAGAGACCCTAAGGCCTCTGTTAATCCAAATGCTCATTCTTTCATTTCTGCGAAATCCCTCCTTCCTCCACGCTCTGTTCTACAATCTCGGAGATCTTCCTGGCATTCTCCTGCGCGCGCTCCTGCTGCCCCTCGTTGTGCATGCGCTCCTGACGCTCCCTCTCCTCGGCACGGTGCACTTGCTCCAACGAAGTCGGTGAAGTATGAGATTGGGTATGCAAATCGGTTTGGGGACGGCGACCGTGGTCACGGTTGTCGCCTGTGTTATCGTGCGAGGCATCCCCCTAGTGTGGCGAGGACGGGATCGTTGATATTAGCAATCGAAGAGGGCAGTGGGAATAAGGATATTTTTTTGCAAGAAGTCTACCTTCTTCCCGAAAAGGTTCATAATCTTATCCATTATTTTAGAGATGGTTCTTACTGATGTTTGAAAGTATGCAAGCTGTTACGGAGGTCGGATACCTTTTGCATCGAATTCAAACGGTCTTATAAAACATCTTTGCCAAGCATCATGGCTTAAACCGCAACACAATCATGATGTCACAGATATATGACTTGGAAGAGCAATCTTGCGCCAATTGTTTAAAGGGGAAATTGGCGATATGAATGGGCGTAAAAACTTTAAGAGTGATGTGTGCATGAGGTGGCCGGGAAATCAGGCAGCCAAGAAAGGTTTAGGACAGGGGAAAGGGGCAGATTTACCAAGGTCGCTTAGAAGACTGTGTACACAATGCCCACTCTGTACATTGTCGTTTTGAGGACTCCGCCGTAATTTTGTTTCGACCATTCCTATCCAGGTAAATTTTGGTGCAATTGGTACGAAAACACGGCCAACTGATTGGCGCTAAATTGCTGTGATGTTAGAACTTAACATCAACGTACGACGTGCGAGTTCAAAAGAAAAACTAGTTCAAAGCTGACAAAATCATATGCTGCTCCCTGTGAGAATCGAACTCACGACCTTGAGATTATGAGACTCACGCGCTGCCGGCTGCGCTAAGGAAGCCTTGCCGTTGATGAAAATCAAAAATATTAACATATAAAAGCCATAAAACGAGGATCCCGCTTTAATTATACTATAATTTTTTTTTACTTAGCTTATTTACAATTAGAATAATTAAAACATTAATATATTATTTAAATGTGATGATTTTAATTTAGTTATAAAGTAATATATTTTATTTATTTATTTATTTATTCTAATTTACTCTTATTATATTTTTCTTATCTTAATTATTATTATTATTATTATTATATTTTAAAATTACCTAATGAGCCAAATTATAAAATAATAAGTTAGAAATTTTTTAATAAAAAAATAGTCTATAAATAAGTTTTTATGATCTTAACAATAGCAAATTTTATGTCAAAGTAGTAAATTTATTCTGAGATGAGAGGAAAAGCAACAGGAAATATATATATAATAAAAAAATAAAAATGGATTGTGTGAACGACAAATGAATAATATTCGGAAACCGCATCGGCATGGCTTGAGAAGCTGCGGAATATTGCAATGGAGGAGCTTTGAAAAAA